ATGCCTGCTTTTTTCACGATTATGTAGCTAAGACCTAAGGCTTAACTATCATATAATCATTCAAGTCATGTAACTAATACTACTTTTTAATTTTTTTCAAAACAAAAAAGTAAAAAAGTGCAACAACTTTGAACGTTTATAAAAAATTGAAAAAACATGTTCTTACTATTCGTAAGTATCTTAAAAACTTCCTTACGGTATCAGCTATTTACCGTAAAAATTTCATCAACCTAGCTTTACTACATGCTACCGTAATTGTGGCTCAAATAGAACCGAACCCAAAATTGGATAACCCTCTGCTCAATAGAAATTGTTAGTTTCGGAAAAAAAAATTGCAAAAACCACAAAAACACGTTTGATTTTTACTGAACAGCAGATTATTATTCATTTATGTTATTTACAAGAGGTTTTCAAAATGTCTGCCTCTAACAGAAATGCACAGTGTACACCTACGTATGAAATTTTGTTTTAAATCTCTAAATGCTTGTGTGTTGTTTTTCAACACATGTGTCGCTTCTTGAATTTTGTTCCTCAATGAATTTTCATTTGCACATTCTTGGGCGAATGTTATGTCTTTAAAATATCCCCAAACAAAAAAATCAATGGGGTTGAGGTCAGGGGAGCGTGGAGGCCATCGTATCGGTCCGTTTCGTCCGATCCATCTGTCTGGGAACCTTTCGTTTAAGTAGTTTCGCACGATCGTTGCATTGTGGCATGGTGCACCATCATTCTGGAACACCATGTTCCGTCTGGCTTCCAGGCTTGAATCTTCCAGCAATAATGGTAGGCTATTTTCAAGGAAGCTTTTGTAGGCTACCGAATCCAACCTTGACGGCAGTTCAAATGGACCGATAAATTCCATATTGAATATTCCTGACCACATGTTCACACTAAAACGGTGTTGAAATGTCGACGGCCTTGACTGGTGGGGGTTTTCAACAGCCCAAGTATGTAAATTATGGATATTGAATATCCCTGTTCTTTCAAAACGTGACTCGTCAGTCCATAAAATTTTATCAAAAAAATCGGGATCCTCTCGTTGTCTTCGCAGCATTGTCTCGCAGAAATCCACTCTTAACTGGTAATCTGAAGGCATCAACGCTTGAACTCTTTGAACATGATAGGCATGATAACCTTCTTCATGAAGAATATTTTGTATCGATGTTCGTGGTATTCTAAGGTTTTGTGCCATAGATCTCGTACTCGTTGAGGGATTCCGGCTAATTTCTCTGCTTTGCATACTGATTTGGACTTTGTTTGCTAAGAAGTTTGTGATGCATTATACGTTGCGTGAATATGCAGAAATGCATTATTATTATGGCGTTGCTCAAGGCAACGGCGCTTTAGCAGCTCAGCTGTACCGGGAACAACTTATACGCCGAGGCGGACCACAACCTGAGCATTACCCAGACCACCGTGTTTTTATTAACACACATAACACTTTCATGGCAGGCCGCATTCCAGGACGAGGAAGCAATGAAGGATATCCTACAGCTGATCCGGATCGCAGAGAAGTAGTACTTGAAGAAATTAGCTGGAATCCCTCAACGAGTACGAGATCTATGGCACAAAACCTTAGAATACCACGAACATCGATACAAAATATTCTTCATGAAGAAGGTTATCATGCCTATCATGTTCAAAGAGTTCAAGCGTTGATGCCTTCAGATTACCAGTTAAGAGTGGATTTCTGCGAGACAATGCTGCGAAGACAACGAGAGGATCCAGATTTTTTTGATAAAATTTTATGGACTGACGAGTCACGTTTTGAAAGAACAGGGATATTCAATATCCATAATTTACATACTTGGGCTGTTGAAAACCCCCACCAGTCAAGGCCGTCGACATTTCAACACCGTTTTAGTGTGAACATATGGTCAGGAATATTCAATATGGAATTTATCGGTCCATTTGAACTGCCGTCAAGGTTGGATTCGGTAGCCTACAAAAGCTTCCTTGAAAATAGCCTACCATTATTGCTGGAAGATTCAAGCCTGGAAGCCAGACGGAACATGGTGTTCCAGAATGATGGTGCACCATGCCACAACGCAACGATCGTGCGAAACTACTTAAACGAAAGGTTCCCAGACAGATGGATCGGACGAAACGGACCGATACGATGGCCTCCACGCTCCCCTGACCTCAACCCCATTGATTTTTTTGTTTGGGGATATTTTAAAGACATAACATTCGCCCAAGAATGTGCAAATGAAAATTCATTGTAGAACAAAATTCAAGAAGCGACACATGTGTTGAAAAACAACACACAAGCATTTAGAGATTTAAAACAAAATTTCATACGTAGGTGTACACTGTGCATTTCTGTTAGAGGCAGACATTTTGAAAACCTCTTGTAAATAACATAAATGAATAATAATCTGCTGTTCAGTAAAAATCAAACGTGTTTTTGTGGTTTTTGCAAATTTTTTTTCCGAAACTAACAATTTCTATTGAGCAGAGGGTTATCCAATTTTGGGTTCGGTTCTATTTGAGCCACAATTACGGTAGCATGTAGTAAAGCTAGGTTGATGAAATTTTTACGATAAATAGCTGATACCGTAAGGAAGTTTTTAAGATACTTACGAATAGTAAGAACATGTTTTTGCAATTTTTTATAAACGTTCAAAGTTGTTGCACTTTTTTACTTTTTTGTTATGTTCGAAGATTTTGAAAAAAATTAAAAAGTAGTATTAGTTACATGACTTGAATGATTATATGATAGTTAAGCCTTAGGTCTTAGCTACATAATCGTGAAAAAAGCAGGCATTTATCACAATTATTAACGAAGTTATGGTAAAAATAAACACAGAACTCAAAAATTCTCGAAAAATCCGAAAAAAAAATCATAACTCCTAAACTAAACAAAATCGGACCATATATATGGGGGTGATTTGGGTTCCTCTCGATGTGGGGAATCTAATTTTTTTTTATGACGTCACGTGTTTGGCCACCCTGTATATATATATAAAGAGAAAATAATCATGCGGAGCAAATGTATCGCTCATTGAATGCAGAACTAGCACAAGTCACAAAATGCTAATTTTACAGGAGATCATTTTTTCTGATTTTGTCTTAAACTTCTTGCAAGTCTTGAGTGAAAATGTGTTCATAATATGAGTATACTTGCATGTGTTTTGCTCTTTTAATGTTTTTTTTATTTAGGCTTACAAAACCGAAATTTGTGGACTTAGGATACTTGTCTTCGTGGAAGTTGTATCCTATGTCCACATAGGATAAGGTGTAGTCGTAATATAAGTAACTTAGGCTAGTTCTGACCCATGTTTGTATCTATATATGTACATTCAGCTTATTCAGCACAAAAATAGAAACGGGAATACGTTGAAAACATTTATTGACAACTAAGCAGTCTTATTATACAGGTACATAATATTATAATTAACTACCAAAACATAAACGAGGCATTCAGGCAAACGATGGACAGTGCTCAAAATAATAACAGGAAACAAAAATTATAATTCAGTATCCCCACCAGATGAACTATTGCTACCTGATATATAAAAAAGTGGTAGTATTAAGAAACTTTTTGTAACAGAAAAATGATGAACTTCTGAGTCGCCATCCCTACTTACGTTGGAATACTGTAAGTTCTTGTAGAAACTGTGGTACCGAGTAGGTATAGTCCCCTTGTCACATAGGAATTGCAGATGATCATACTGTTTTGCTGATCGGGGTAGCACCCTTGTAACATTGCTTTAACTGTATATTTTTTAGATCAACATCAATTGTCTTTCTGCCTTTTGTTAATAAATTAATTGTTCTGAACGGTTCATTGTAGTCGTATTTGAATAAAATTTTATTTTGAAATTTTAAGGTTCCCTCTAAAATTCGTATTTTATTTATAGAAACCTTCTCATTTTCCATATCACGATCCCAATTCAAAATGGTATCCTTGGCAAGCGCGTTCAAATCAAAAAAAATACTCTTTGTCCATCTCAGTTACTACATACGGTTTACTTCTTTTTGCCCTGCGTACTAAAGTATACCATTGATCAGTGGTAAATAAAGGGATAAGCTTAGATGCTCGTTCAATTACACTACGCATCGAATCCCCTTCGGTTTGCGTATGACCGTTCTCCAAAAATGTATGCCTTATCACAATCTTGTGCTTCTGTGCTAATAAGCTATACGTACTAAAAATATATTTGTTTCGATTTAGACCTGCACAATTGTCGGAATAGAAAGAAAATTCTCTCGTATCTTCATGTACTTTGAGGTCGATAAGCCTATTTCTGAGCTCCCCCTTTTACCAACAGACTCGTACCACATGTAACAATGTCCTTCAGAATTTGCCAAGTTAAAAATCGTGAAATTGTATGTTGATAATTTAAGTTTGTAATATGCCATACCAACATTACTTTTGGGGAGAGGCAGTATTTGTTCCAAATCAAAAACGGCTGCAAAAAATTCTCTATTTTGCTTAGCCGTCTGTTTATCAGCATTCTTTAAATCCCGTCCAATGTCCTTGTTCTTTCTGTGCAACTGGTATTTTTCTTCCATTTCAGTTCTTTCTTCTGTTGTTCCGCCATCATACTTGCAAATATCATACAAATCTTTTTTAGGGATGAAAAATGAGTTGAATTCGGTGTTGAAGATTATTCTGTAAATGCTTTCTGTCGCAGGTTGGATGTTGTTCTGCTCACAATATTCAAGGTAAAGGCCATACATCTTGGAAATATTAAGCGTTGGTGGCAGAAATTACTTTGAAGTGTTTTTTCGGCAGTAGTGACTCTCGACTGTTTCGAATAGATTAATGTGGTCCCTCATTGACTGCTTTATTGAATCACTCAATTTAGAACTCTTGCATGCCTTACCACACCGATCTGCCCCGACTGCACCGGTGCTACCCATTTTTTTTAACACTGTCTTAATGACCAGGGTGCTTATCCCTAAAGTATTCATAAAAAGTTTTACAGACCGCTATTTTCTATCGACGCGACGATTTAAAAATGTATACTTAAAGGAAAACGCATTTTTTCTTCCTGTTGTTTTTTCTGTGCAGGTATCTTCGTTACTACTGTTTCCATCCTGCTTTCTCAACCGTGTTCTTTTCTTGTCCATTATATTTACATACTGGGCAATAAAATCCCGTTGTCTATTGATGTCCCCCAGTTGCCAATATCTCTCAAATATCTGTTTCCTCTCTTCTTCTGTGAACTTTTCGCTGCACTTTTGTCTGCAGTTAGTACAAGGAGGTTTTGGTTGCCTTTTTGGACGGAGGTTTCCTCTCCAGTCTTCTACTTCTCGCCAAGATTCCGCAGCTTCTTTATTTCATTTCTTCTCCATGCACCCGGATTCCTCTGTCTCTTCCGTGTATTTTTCTTGGTTTTCATCGGCTCATTTTTATCATCATGTTCTGATGAGTTTTCGATATCATCTGGATCTCTACTGTGAGTTAAGTTTTCCTTAATGTTGGTATATAGTCCATGTCATTGCTATCATCACTGGTGGCAAATGGGTCACTCTCACATTCAGAAAGCATAAAATCATCCTCTATAGTATTTGAGGATTTTGATGTGAAGTCAGTATTTTGTAGAACAGTTTTTTCATATGTATCTCCACCGTTCAATTCAACTACAGCGGGACTACTGATCTTAAGGATTTCATTGGATGGAAATTCCTCAATAGTTACAGAGTTATTTTGTAGGATGTAGTTGAACTTTCCCAAGGCATCAAAAAAAGAGGAGGCTGTTGGGTGATACTGTCCTGCATCATTTGAGCTATGCTTCTTGCCGAAGAAGGTATTTTGGGAACATCATGAGCTTGGTTGTTCGAAGTTGTTGATCCCCCATCATCTTCTTGTACATATTCTAGAATCAAATTGGACATTGTAAATTAACAGAAAGGCAACACGAATGAATGTGGGAAAATTTTTGAGATACACCTACAGAAAATAATAGTCGGGCTAATAATTGTTTAGCTATAATCCTATAACCCAATCAGTTTTCCCTTCTTATTCCTCTTCGAGTCACCCTCAAATCGTTTTTTGTAGATTATAACTTTATAGTTTATACAGTATCGAAGTCTAATGCCACTTACCTTCTGTAATAGCCTCTCCAATGTTTTGTTTGGCATTCGGAGTAAACGATGTAGATAAGCTCCTTTTCTCTAGATTTTGTATGCCTACAAATCATACCCATACATAATTCGGAAATTATTAAAACTTAATTTATTGTCTCACCAGCCTTCTGGGTGCCTTCTGATTTTTTCGGGCCCACCAGTTGTATCATTTTTAAAGTTCTAGAATTCATTGTGACCGCGATATACAAAATAATATCGCTACTTAAGGAAGTTACCGTATTGCGGAAGTATTCTATGTCCACAGCTACTATGTACTTGGTATACAAATTCTAATACAGAACTAGCCTATGTCCATACAAAGCACAGACTTAGCATACGCAACCGCCAAGGGATTGTTCTGCACTGAATCTCGGAACGCGTCGCAAGTTGGGATATTTGCATAATAGATGCGGTAGAGGGGATAACGTGTTGATATTATAGGCTAGTTCTGCACCCAAATCCGGCATGCGCCGTAGCATCCCATGGTGTTGTTAATGCAAATTCGGCAAAAATGGAGTTGGGCTAGTTCTGCATTCAATGAGCGGTATATAACAAAAAAATAGGAAAATAATGGGCAAAATCCGCAAAAAGAAGGAAAGTGGATTCGAGCAGAAAATAGGATAGGTAACCCGAGCGATACGTATTTTTTCGGGCCTGATGAAGCCAACCAGCAGAAATACGTATCGCTCGGGTTACCTATCCTATTTTCTGCTCGAATCCACTTTCCTTCTTTTTGCGGATTTTGCCCATTATTTTCCTATTTTTTTTTTGTTATATATATATATATATATATCACATTTAGTTTAGGCATATTTTGTGACATCAGCTTCACTTTAAATAATTTTTCAAGTACATACATACAAAAAGTAAATAGATTATAACTATAATATAGGAAAAACAATAACAGAAGTAGTTTTGTGAAGGGCAGAAGGCAATCGAACGCCATCGTGGGGCACCAGGTGGACAGTAAAACCTGCAGGCCACACCTACAAATGGCATTTTCATGAGAATCCTGTGCCGATTGCACATTTTTGCGGTAGTATATAAATAAGAATTTGACAAACCAAATTAAGGTATATTAATATCCATGATTTGGCAACATCGCAACTATACTAAGTGACATATAAATCCGAACACCCAGTTTAAATGGTTTTATTTTAATAAAAGTTGGTGAATGTATTTATCTTACTGTAAATAACAAGTGAACAAATTTTCAGCCTTATCAGTTGGACATTCCGGTTTTTATACTGCTTTTTTTTAATTCACTAACGCTCTAAAAATGAATATTTCAGACGCAGTCAAGAATCAACGTTGACGGATTTTGGTTCTTGACATCTTTACGATCGGTTACGATGCCTAGAGTACGGAGTACGATTTCGTCAACTTAGTGAGTTTGATAGGGGCCGTATAGTGGGACTTCGGGAAGCTGGACTTTCTTTTCGGGCAATTGCAGTTAGAGTGCAAAGAAGTGTAGACACTGTGGTTAGGTGTTGTCAGGCATGGCTTCGAGAAGGCCGTACGCAAAGAGCAAGGGGAACTGGACGCCGCCGTAGAACAGACCGTGAAGATCGCCGCCTAAGATTATTGGCCTTAAGGGACCGTTTCTCCACTACCGGGTCGATTGCAAATGAATGGTTTGCAGAACACGGAAGACCTATTGGCATGCGAAGTGTTTACCGACGAATGAGAAGTTTTGGCTTGTTTTCATACCGGCCACACTGGGTCCTCCCTTTAACTCGAGAACACCGACGTAATCGCCTTGAGTGGTGCAGACAACGGTCACTATGGGATCAGGAATGGAACAGTATTGTCTTTAGTGACGAGTCTCGATTTTGTTTAGGCATGCACGATGGTCGTGCCAGGGTTAGAAGGCGACGTGGTGAAAGGAGGAATCCACAGTTTTTTGTTGAAAGACATGTTCATCACACTGTTGGAGTTATGATTTGGGGTGCTATAGCTTATGGTTCCAGGTCACCTTTAATCTTCATCAGAGGTAACATGAACGCGCAGCGTTATATCCACGAAGTTCTAGAACCCCATCGTTTACCCTATCTTGACACCCTGGCAGATCCAACTTTCCAACAAGATAATGCCCGACCACATGTTGCAAGAGTCACAATAGACTTCTTTCAACATAATGATGTCACATTGTTACCATGGCCACCAAGATCTCCCGACTTATCCCCAATTGAGCACGTGTGGGATATGATGGGTAGGAGATTGCTCAATTTGCAACGTCCTCCTCAGACTCTAGAAGCACTTCGAGAGGAGTTGGTGGTTGCCTGGAATGAGATACCACAGGAGGTCATTGACCACCTGATCAGAAGCATGCCTAGGCGCGTTGGAGAATGCGTAGCATATCAGGATGTATCCACACATTACTAAAGGTCAAAGGGCTTTAAAGCAGTGCAATCATGTTGAAATTTTTATCATTTACTTATTATCTTCATTAAGTACTTATACAAAATTTTATTAAAATAAAACCATTTAAACTGGGTGTTCGGATTTATATGTCACAGTATACAAGGAGAGAGTTGTGTAGTGATGGGAATATTTATCTGAAATAAAAGAAATGACTACTTAACTATGAACTATTTTCATCATTAAAATAATACAAAATTACGTTATTGGGATGAACAGTGTCACAGTAATTTACAGTGTATGTTATATTCATATAATTTAAAGCAATCTTTTATGTAAACAAGAAAAAAACAGCTTAAAAAGCAGTATTCTATACCACAGAATTATCACCCAAAATGCAACTTTGAAGTTCTATAAAATAGCAAGCAGAGGGTCCCTTAAAGAAAAAATGATATTTTCGTGCAGGTTACATCCCAATCTTTCATTTTAAAATAAGAAATCAAATACTTGTGATATGCGCTAAAGTATAGTTCATGATGGTTTTAATGGAAATCAGACGGATATGTTGGTTCTAATTGATAGTGACTTTTGAGAACATCGATCGACTGGATTCAAATAAATATTTCTTCATCCTAGTGCTACACCTATTATCTACCTTTTCCACATTTCCATCACCATATTGTCGAAATTAAGAATCAAAATAATTTGTCGCTGCTCTTGAATTTGTTCCTAGACTACGTTTGGATATCCACAATTGGGGATCAGGCAATTTTTAAGAGGTAAACCACTTTCGGCCATTTGTATTCATATAGGTACAACGTTGACCCAATTTTTAAAAGCCACACCAGTGATACAAAATTCTAAATACTGAGTGTGCAGTGACTCTGAGAAATGTAAAGGATGGAGGATGGAGATGAGACTGTAAACATTAGCTGTGATTCTATTATGTCAACGCAATAAACATGTGAGTTCTTGAAAAAACAGAATAAATTATTACAACAGGAGTTGCTGGAAACTTGTCAAGCATTATTTTTCGAAAAAGAAACATTAATATAACACCTATCAAACGAAAACCGCAGATTCCAAATAAAGTATGATCTTTTTTCATTAAACATCGTCGATAGGGACTGTATAGTAACACCACTTGAGAAACTCCTTAGGGGAATTGAGAAGTTAGAAGACACATCCACACCAAAAAATTCAACATATGCCCAAGCAGTAATGGATTCACCGTCAAAGAGTAAAAAAACACTTAAAACCGAAAATGTTTAATCCTAAAATAAAGATTGTTGGCAATCCACTCTGAAGAACAACTTCAAGAACGTGAAATAGAAATGAAAAAAAGATGAACATAGCTTACGCAGACGTCTCAGGTAGACTATTTAGGCAAATATTTGAAAATAATGGAGGAATTATTTTAACTTGTTTTCAAAATTTATCAGTGTTTCCTAATAATGAGGCAGGTAACTCAGTGTACAAATTGCTTCAAGTATAATCATTCTGGTAAGTAAATGCAATAGTCATAAAGTATGCTTCAAATGTGGAGGAGAACATGATGTTACTTCATGCAACAAATCTACTAATCCCATTTGTTGCAACTGCGTGTATTTAAATAAAAAAGGGATTATTACCTCAACAAAAAAATAGAATTATATGAGGGAACAAAAAAATGTCCTTATGATATGAATCTTTTGAATGAATTTACGTAAATCATATAGAAAAAGACTGACAAAAATAATTAAAGAGGCTTAAATTAAATATCTCCAAGAAGAGTTTGATAATCTACAAAATTGTTCGTCCAAGATGTGGCAATTCATCAATAAAATACAAGGCAAATAACAAAACAACACAACATTAGTACAATTAAAAAAGAAAAGGGTGAACTAGTGAGTAAGGATGTAGATATAGCAAATGAATTTTGTGAATATTTCTCAAAATCTGGAAAAAAATTTCAGAAAACATAAAAAAACGTGGAAATATTAAATTATAGTAGGACCAGTTTATACAACTCATTATATCTGGAACCGACCGATACGCATGAAATAAATACAATAATCAATGAATTAAAATTAAGAAAATCTCCAGGCCTAGATAATAATATAAAAGCATATACTCTCAAGAGGATAAATGAGGAGCAGACTTTCAAAAAGCATTAAGCGCAGTTTTTACGAAATTGGCCAAAAGATGGCGATCAAATGTATAGGTTCATCTCCATTTGTCAACCGCTCCTTGGACATCCAAAACGATGTTAAACGATAAATATAACGCCCGTTAATACGTCTAGACTTTCAAAGAGCGTTATTTTTTTCTGCGTTGGACAAACAAATAGACTTTGATAAGCTAGTTAGTGCATGAACGCTTTTTGTTTGTCCAGTATATTTTGGATGAGCAGCAAGTAAACCCTTTTGTTTGGACACGTGTCTCAAGATTGTAATCCTGTCGTAACTTGCTTCAGTTAGCATAGTGATATCGAGTGGGTTAGATCGGTCGGACCACTATTATGGATGAAGAGCATATTGTTGGTGATCAAGACAGAGGCAGTAGAAAACGAAAATGGGGTGCAACATCACGGCAGCGGCAGAAATAAATACGGTACATATAGTAAATTATGTTATTTGGGGAATTTTTTCATAGTTTGCGTTTTTATTTCTAGATACGATGACCCAGATCTCAACCTTGATTGTTTCGAAGTCTCCTGTAAGCATGGCAGAAATAAAAAAACTTTCATGTAAGGATATTCCTCTCGAAGATCTAAGGCGCTGCCGACAAAAGTTTTATTCACAAAAAGACAAAGTTAAGCAAGATACGAAACTGTCTCATTTAATTGAAATTGGAACTCCTAGGAGAAAGAAACGTTCAGACCAAAGCTTACTAGAAACCGCAACATTACTGTGCATTACAATGTGTGGAGCTCCAACAGCAAGAAAACAGTTTGTAAGAAAATGCCAGAAAAGCTGGATCGGGTATTTCTGAAAATCGTGGTGGTGACAGACGTTCACAGAAAAATGTGGAAAAGCGCAAAAAGTGAAAGCATTCATCGCAAATTCAAAGGGGCAAGAGACTCACTACGGAAGAGCGAAATCTA